GGTGTTCAAGTGTCTGGGGTTCAGGTCTGATCAGGCCCCAGGGGCTTTGTTGGATGGCATCTGCTCTGGAGAGATGAGATCAGCATATCCCCAGGGCCTGAGAGTGGCCAGTCTGTGTCGGAGTCTGGACCTCAGGAGCCGCCCAGGAATTCTTGTATGGTGGGGAGCCAACCCCCCATACTCTGCTGCTCATGAACACAGCCTTCTCAGGCTTAGTCCCTGGGCGTGTTCACATGTGTCTGCCCAGGTTCCCAAGCAGCCACCCACCTCAAAGGAGAAGCGAGTTGGGCTCCTTTCACTTTTCTAACTTGAAATCCATGGGTGCAACCTTCTCGGTGCCTTTTCTCTTGCATTCTGCTAGGAAACGCCGAGGACACTCCACTGGTGCAGGACAGTGCGACAGTGCTGACACTCTGCTAGGAACGCCCGAGGCCACTCCGCAGGTATGTGGACAGTTTGGCAGCATTTGCTATGATCTCCTGGCTCTGCAGCAGCAGCTCCAGCATGGTCACCTGGACATGGCTCCCATCTCAGCTCTCTGTGGCCACTCAAGAGACAGCACTTTCCAAGCACCAGTGCATAGTGCAGCCTCTGGTTGGCTAAGGTCCGGCAGCTCTTCTGCTCTCAGCCTTTTCTGTACCAAATCTATCAATGTGTTTCCCTCTATGTTCTCTCTCCCTAAGAAATAGTAAGTCTGGTGGTCCATTTTCAAAATACAGCATTTATCTTTAAGTGTAAGAAAGGCAGCTGGAGGGGAGAGCAGAATAAAGTTACAAACAGTGAACACTGGCGTGTAAAAATTCACAGCTCCTTGACCAACGAGGTGAGATGGAAGGAGCCAGCCCAGGCCAACAGAAATAAACTGCACCTGTGTGTGCCAAAAGGCACTTAATCCAAGGGGGCTTCCTGCCACAGAGAACAAACGGAGGTGGGGACAACTAAAGGTAAATCTCTTTAAATAACCCAATAGGAGGCAGTAATACCTGGGCAACATTCAGGAAGGTGGTGCGCCCCACAGTACTCAGCCAGGGAGGAACCTGGGGAGGGATCTTGCGCACTAGGGGATGAACGCTTGGGTGTGCCTGCTCCCCACAGACACGCCATCTTCCAAGATTGTCATTGAAATAAAGCCTCGCCCGTACCTTCCCCTGTCAGTCCAGTCTTTGGGTTTGGGCAGGTGAGCATGCTTCTCACACTTCTCCCTCTGCCACCACGGCCCCAAGGGACTCTTCCTCTGAGTCCCTAAGGCACTCTGTCCAAAGTTGAACTTTGGTGAACTCCTGCTGCCGTGAATCCAGAGCCATGGGGCAACTAGGAACGCAGCCCTCTGCTAGCCACCATCTGGACTCTCCTCCCTTCTCAGAACATGTTTGGAAAACAAAAGAAGATACCCAGAAGTTCAAGGACATATATTAAACATAGATATCAAAATACATTTAAAAAGGCAAATTTATAATGTTTATTTTCTTTATTCACACATCAAATAGCAAGATTTAGTGGCAAGTCTAGTTGTTATTGTAACTCTTATTGCAAAATATACATTTTCCTGTAACTTTAAAGTAGTGATGAATGTGAATATTATTTTATACCATCTTTAGCCACTGTAATGTGATATGAAAATACCTGCAATTCTTATTGATAACAAAGTCTTTTGTTCTATGGCTTGTTGCCTGACTTAAAAATTGAAGAAATTACTAAAATTTCAGGCACAAGTATTAAAACTGTGTTATTTTTTTCCCACCGACCATTATGAATTCCAAATAAAGAATCCTAGTTCGTACACCATAAATATGTACAATTATTGTGTGACAGTTAAAAATTCTTTAATATGGGCTGGGATTGTGGCTCAGCGGTGGAGCGCTCGCCTAGCATGTGAGGCTCTGGGTTTGATCCTCAGCACCACATAAAAATAAATAAATAAAGATTTAAAAATTCTTTAATATTTAAAAACTAACAAACAAAAGCATCTGTTATAGTTTAGATATTAGGTGTCTCCCAAAAGCTCATGTGTGAGACAAGGCAAGGAAATTCAGAGGTAGAGTGACTGGGTTATGAGAGCCTTAACCTTATCAGTGAAGTATCCTCTAATTGGTAGGCAGGTAGGGTGTGGCTGGAGGGGGTGGGTCCCTGGGATGTGCTTTGGGGGCATGAATTTTGTCCCTAGGGAATGGAGCCACAAGTGGTCCCGGCCCACCAGCTTCCTGGTGGCTGGGCGCTGAGCCTCTTCCCTCTGCCACACCTTCTGCCATGATGTGCTGCTCACCTTGGGCCCTAAGGAGTACAGTCAGCCACCTATGGACTGAGACCTTTGAAACCCTGAGACTCAAAATAACTTCTTCCTCTAATTGTTCTTATCACGTCTTTTGGTCACAGTAGCAAAAAGCTGACTAAACAGCATCCCAATGATTTTTATTTTATTTATTTTATTTTATTTATTTTATTTATTTGTGGTGCTGGGGATTGAAACCAGGACCGTGTGCATGTGAGGCAAGCACTCTACCAACTGCTATATCCCCAGCCCCCAATGATTTTTGTTTGAACTTTATGCTCAGATTTCAGGGACCTTCATGATTATTTTTAAAAATCTGTGAAGGAGCTGGGAGTGGTGGCCACACCTATAATTGCAAATACTCAGGAGGCCGAGGCAGGAGTATCACAAGTTTGAGGCCAGCCTCAGAAACTTAGGGAGACTCTGTTTCAAAATTAAAAAAAAAAAAGAAAAAAGAAAAGAAAGTGCTGGGGACGTAGCTCAGTGGCAGAGCTTTGTATGAATGTTGGATGGGACAGTTATGTAGACTTGGTTCCTGCTTTTCTGGATTTTGGAACCCCAGACAGTTGAATTTGGACAATGGGGGTGAGAATGTAGCTTATTTAAAAAGAGAGCCATTTCCTTCCTGTCAAAACCAACTGTGCTGCTGGCAGACAGGCCTGGGGAGGAGGCAAAGCACCAGCGCCCACAGCCCCTTCCTGGACACCTGCTGTCCTGGACCCTCTTTGATCCGCAGCCTGGCCATTTGCCTGCCCTCTGGCACAGTCTCCTGTGGAGAGCCCTCTCAGGATGGCCTGGGAGTTCTTTGTTGAGTGCTTCCTGTGTGCCAGGCACTGTTCTGGGCAACAGAGATCCAGCCATACACAAGGACAACTTGACAGTGGCCCATAGGTGGCAGGCAGACATCAAAGAGACAGTAGGACCCAGAAAAGGGGCAACCTAATGAAAACTCCGCCTCTCAGCCACCTGGCGAGCACTGCTGGTCTGTGGTGAAGCAGAGGAATCATCATCCCTGTCTCCAGGGAAGTGTCCTGGATCAGCTAACATGCCTGGTGCTGTTCCCGAGCAGTTCTGACTCCTGGTGATCCGGAACACCATGAATGTGGCCCTTCATCTCCGCCCAGCTGCCAAGTGCTGAGAACCTGAGACAGAGCTGATGTTCCCTGGCTGGCAGGAGCGCAGGTGGGCCTCATTAGGAATTCTGGAATAAGCTGGTAAACAGCCGATGGTCTCCTGCATGCTCCCACCCCTTGCTGAGGCCTCCCTGGGGCCCTCAGGATCCCCCAGCACTGAACGGATTCATGCCGACCTGTTGGGAAGCCTGGAGACTCTGTTCTGAGTATGGCCAGTGTCCTTCTGATCCATCAAGGCCGATGCCATATCAGCTATAAAGTCTATTTAATAACACCTCCAGCAAGACCACAAGAAGAGGCTCACGTTGAGGGGTGGTTTGAAGGAGCTGTGGCATTGGTGACATCCTCCTTCCAGGCAGAAGAGTTGGGAGCCTTCAGGAGTATGCAGCAGCCCATCTTCTCAAGGTGGAGACGGAGTTAACAAGTGTTTGGCAATTGAGGATATTGGCCATCAGTGTTCCAGGGGTGTATTTATAATCACCTTATTACTATTGTTAACTTTATTTTATGGGTTTACTTAGGAGGTGGGATTGAACTGCCACTGAGCTACATCCCCATTCCTTTTTATTTTGTTTTGAGACAGTCTCACTAATTTGCCCAGGCTGGCCTTGAACTTGCAATCTGCCCACCTGTGCCTCCCAAGTTTCTGGGACCACAGGTGTGCTCTCAGTACCCAGCTTAATGCTAACTGCCATGGGTGCTTTGGGTCCGGCTTGGGAAGCTCCCCGTTAAGATGTGCATTTAACTGGATGATTGTTTCCAGGATTGAAAGACAAAATGTTGTATCACCTGAGCTGACTCCCCTACCCATCCCCCTGGAATTCTGGTCATTAGCATATTTTCAAAAACACAATTTCACCCACCCCCCATGTTAGCTCCTGCTTCTCTGCTCCCTGGTCCCCGTCCTGTGTAACTGAGTGATGTGGGCCTGCTGCTGTGCAGATGCCACCTGTGGCCTCTGTAGCGAGTGTTGTTCAGCCCACGGGCCCTCTCTCCTCCTCCGCCCCCTCACCGCCACCATTACAGTGCTGGGACTGAAGACAGGGCCTCGCACATCTTAGGCAAGTGCCGGCCACCGAGTGCGCCCCAGCCTCTCCCCTCGTTCATTCGCACTGGTGCCTTATAATTATGCATAATAGTGGGATTCTTTGTCTAATGTTTTTCTCATTTGGAATAAAGGCAGGCTGGAACAGCCTAACTGCTTTTTATAAAAGCTGAGAAAGGTGGATATTTCTTGTTCGATTACCCTGGCAACCCTCAGAACTGGGCATCTGACCTAAAAGTGACCAATCCGATGCTTCTGCCAAGAACTGACTGGAAGGACTGGGAGCGGCGAGAGGGTTGGGTGGCTGCTGTGCCGTCCAGGAGCCAGCGTGTGTGGAGAGAGTCCACAGCATCAGAGCCAGAGGTCAGACCGTCAGCAGCCACGGCAGAAGCTGATCCCAGGGTTGGCTTTACACCTCGGGGACCTGCCCAGCCCATGTTCTCCGGCCTTCTCACCAAGTCTGTGAGCAGCTCAGACCCTATTCAGTGAATCTTTTCACTGTTTAAATTAACTAGAGTTGGTTTCTGATTTATGAAAAACTGTGCCAGGTACATCCTCTAAATGAAAAGCTTTTTCTATTCTCCAATGACTTTGTGGTTCAACAGGAAGAAAAAAAGAACACAAGAAGAAATTCTGGCAATAGGACTCTTGACAGGAGTTGTACCATACTTCTTTAGAATCAACAGGACAAGATCCTCTTCAAGAGGGCTGCGGTGGTATCTGGACATTGTGCAGTCTGTGGGGTGCAGGCTACGCTGGGAGCCAAGGGGATGCTTTACTGATTGTGGTTAGAACAAGGCAGCTACCACCTGTGCACAGAAAGAAAACTGGAAGTCACGACATTGACGTGCATTTCTTTTCCTAATCATTGGCGGTAATTTGTTTTTAAACCCTTTATTCAAGGAAGTTTTGTAGATTACAAATATGCGTGGGAAGCTATCAGTGCTGTGGCTGGGCTAGGTGCATTGCCCATCCCCTCTTCCTTTCTTGACATGTTTTGGGTGGTGGGCAGATGACAGCTGGCAGAGTCTGGCGTGGCTGCAGGATGAGGTTCTAGCCTACTGTGCGTGCAGGAGTGATTTAGAGGCTCCTGGGGATGTTCCTTGAGAGACGTCCAGCATGCCATCTGCTGGCCTCTTCACTCCTCCCTGTCCGCAGCCTGGAATGTGATGTGGTGGCTGTTCTCTGGACCAGGAGGAGGAGGCTCACCCTCTAACAGGAGGGTGGACAGCTGGGGGGAGCAGAGCCCTTCCTGTGGTAACTGGTTAGCAGAACGGCCCCAACTGTTCCCCCTCCTGAATCCATGATCCTTGCAACTTGACTTGCAGTTGATTTATTTTTTAAAAGGAGTTCATTTCCTCATAGCTTGCATTTGGGTGGCTTCGTGACTTGCTTGGGCTGACAGAGTGCGGCCGAGGTGGCCGTGTGCCATGCAGGCCTGACCCCAGCACCCCTGTGTGCTCTTCCTGTCTCTCCTGGGTCCCTGCTCTTGCACAGCACTGGGGAGCCCCTGGGCAGAGAGGCACGCAGAGGAGAGCTGGGGCTCCAGCCGAGAGCCACCAGGCCGTAGAAGCAGCCACCTGGCCACTGCCCAGCTGCTGTGAACAGGTGAAGGAGCACCTGGGCTGACAGGCAGGTCCACGGTTTCAGACCAGCAGGCTTGGGGAGGCCAGTCCCGTGGAGATGCATGGTCAGGGACAGCAGGGAGCAGAGCCCAGTCAGCCTGCCTCCCCCATTGGAGGGTCCAGACAGGTGAGAAACCCACCCACCCAATGCAGCCACCTCACCTGTGGCTCACCAACCCCTGACCACGTGCTGCAGAGCCAGGCCAGCCAGGCCAGGGGAGCTCCTCAGCGAAATCAGATTCACGGGCTAAAAAAAGGCTTATCCTCTAAAGACACGGGCGGCAATTTCTTTCTTTGTTAGGCCTCAATTATTTCATATTTTCATCACACACAACTATTACTTCATCACACACAACCAAACCCATTCTTAACTGATAAAGTCGTCCATATTCCTCTCCTGAGCCTCAGAGTTAAATCTGGATTGTTCCATATGAACCTTTGAACTATGTGCGCTTCGCAGTGATTCTCTAACAGTAGTCACGTGACCCAGTTCAGGGGCCCGCATCACCCAGAGTCGGACACGTCCACCTGCGGTGCCTGGGAACTGGTAACCATCTTTCAACCCCGAGAGGAGCTGGCCTCTTAGAAAACCTGACATTCTGAGGGTAGTGGAATGGAAAGATGGGAAGAGTCTGGGTTTTTCATAATGTGACTGAGACTCTTGGTAATTGCCCCTAACTCTGGACTTTAATTGTGTAAGGGAAGTCATATCTAGAGTTGATTCAGCAGGTTGAGGGGAATCCTCTGCTAATTCCAACTGAAAGCATAGCAAATGATATGAAAATCCCTGATTATTTAATACTGTACCGGCTGGGGAAAGTCTTTAAATCACTGAAGAAAATGTGCCATCATTGCCCTCCAGGACTTTACACTCCAAAGATAATGACTATAAAACAGATTGAGTATAATAAACTTCTCATTAGTTACCCAATAAGGAAAAGTTACTTCTTCAACATCAGAGAGAAGCTCTGGCTCACTGTCAGATAGATCTATCTGTTAAACATGATTTTCTAATAGTTGCTTTTTCCCAGAGGGATATGATCCTTATGCAAAATAATCTCTTTTGAATAAATGATACTAAATGATGATTATGGGGGTATTATACTTTTGTTTTTTCTTTTCATTCAATTCAGAGTAATCTTGCCTTGAGACCCTAGGGTGGGCTCTCATATTTAAAAAGATGGTGATGATTTAATATGTTATTAATTACTCCTGTGTAATAGCGAGTCACCAGTTCCTCTGAGCTGTGTTAAAATATCAGAAATGCACAGTTTATTTTAGACTGGGACCTGAATCTGGTTAACTCACCTTCCTCATGAAGTTTAAGTAGTCAAGTGGTTTTGGAGTGGACGTGGCAACCCGGCTCGGCTTCCTTGGCCATGTGGTTCTTGGGTCTACAGACACAGGAGGATCTTGGTTGCCCCGTGAGGGCATTTGTGGGCACTGTAGGACAGATGGGGCCTGGCCGGGCTGACTATGTGGTCAAACCTTGTGCCCCCGAGTCCCTCAACCCCAGAGACTTTCCTGTGGCCGTTGCTCTCTGCACAGGAAGAATCTGGGCTCGGTGCGGCTGCTCTCTGTTGCTTTTCTTAGACACACCCCCCTCCACTGTTTCCAGAGCCGCCCACAAGCTGCACCCACGGTGTCCATCACAACAGGAAGTGGTGCTTCCGGGCCTCAGAGTCGGAAGCGTTTTTTATGCTGTTAGTTCCCTGCAGTGGCTGGTTTCTAATTCTCACGAATATCCCTTTTGGGTCTCATCTTTTGAAGCCATCGCTGTGTTCCACCCACTATGGAGTGAGACGTGGTCACACAGGGCGGGTGAGGACATGGACATGTGCACGTCATCCAGGAATGGCACTGCCCACCCATCGGTGGCTCTCAGTAGGACCCATGAACTGTCAGCCTGGGGAGGCTGCCAGGCTGAGAAGGTCCTGTGCGTGCCACAGGCCAAGTGGACCCCACATTCAGCAGATCACAAGAACAGATCCACAGCACTTCGCTGTCAGAACCCAAGTGGGGCACAAATAGATGGCCAGAGCTTGATAAGGCGCTAGGACAGGATTCTCTCTCCCTTCTCCTGGAGTCCTTATTCTCTAACAGGTATTATATGGAGAGGAGTATTCAGAGCAAGGCAGAATAGAGAGCAGCTCTTTTATCAAAATAATTCATCAAAGTCATGTTCGGAGAAGATGCCAACCCCAAGAAGAAGGAGGGCTGTGCGTCTCGGCGACGCTTCACTCTGAAGCACTGATGGGCAGGGATTCATAGTGGGACTCTCCTTGGCCTCCCTGGGATGGACCCACGAAGGACTCCAAGATGGAGCTGGAGCCCCAGATGAAGATGAAAGGAAAAGAAAGATACTCCACTGTGTAATGTGGAGACTGGCGGTGGCACTGTGGGCTGGTCAGGTCACGAGGAAAGGGTGGGTGTGGGTGACTGCTTGTTTTCAGCATATGCAAAATTGAGCTCACGTGTCTGAAAAGCAGCTTTCTAGAGAGTATCATCAGATTTTTAACTAGTCTTCAAAAAACAGACAAGTGACCACAAAAATATCCCTGCAAGAAAACTCTTAGGTCAAATATAGAAATAATATAGAAAAGAAATGAAGAGAATATGGCAGACATGATCCTTCTTTTCTCCCAGAACAAGACTTTGGGGCTATTTAAAGAGGTTAAATGATTACATCTGATCATACCTGATGGTGGCATTTATTCTGAGCTTTCTTTTTTCAGTACCAGGAATCAAACCCCAGGCCTGGGGTATATAGGCAAGGGCTCTTGTGCTGAGCCACGTCCCCAGCTTTCTTTTATTTTGTTTTGAGACAGGGCCTTTCTAAGTTGCCCAGGCTGCAAACTTGGGGTCCTCCTTCCTCAGCTTCCTTAGTAACTGTGTTATAATGTTCTTAAACTACTGGTTCTTAAAACATTTTTTAAAAAATGGATCTATGCTATTGAAATATCACCATTGTTATATTATTTTTATGACCCAAAATGATATAACTCTTCTCTATTAAATTTTAATGTCTACTAAAAAAAACCAACCTTCCACCGTCCCGAGTCCACCCACTCAGGGCCAACGTCCAGCTCTGCCACGACAGACTAGAGATTAGCAAGTCTTCCCAGACTGAGCTCTTCTACTTGGGGACTCTTCCAGGTGATTTTCATTCTTCCGGGGAACTGGTCTTACAAATGTGGGTTCATCACATGCGTTCTGTAGCAGCCAAGGACACGCAGCACTCGACCCACAGGGTAGGAAGCGACATTGTGCTGCTCGGCCTTTGGATCAAGCCCCACGCCCTGCTTCCTGCAGGCTGCTCCTGGCCAGGACCGTGTCTTTCTTGCAAGACACTTCTACTAACAGCTGATGCTGGCCTATGACTCCCTGACACCTGCTCTTGCAGGCTGAATTCTCATTTGGCATCTGCTTTTTTGAAGGAGCCTAATACACTTTCAGTATTCCTACTTACCTGTTCCTATACTCTGATCTCTAAAGGATTTGAGTTGCTAATGTGCTCGACCATCATGAACAGGGTGTAAGCGCAATCAGGTCTCCACCTGGATTCCTAGTCATGTTCCACTCCTCCTTGTCACTATTCAGGGTCACCTCTGCTCTTCAAAAACCGCCAAACTCGTTCTTTCCCCTTCACTCTGACTGCACCGAGAAGCCAGGCTGCTCAGCCTGAGCACCAGCTCCCCTCCACAGCTCCCCTCCACAGCTCCCCCGGCCTTGGAGCTCCCGGGGACCTGCCGCCCTTCCCTGCCGTGTTCTGACTTTCTACTTGGCAAGGCGATCCTGCATTCTTGACCTTGGCCCCGTTTGTCCCCGACAGGGTAATGACGAAGCCCTGCATTTTAAGATGGGGCTTCATCCAAAGGCACCATCTATCTGCCGTCACTGCCCCTCTTTCTGAAAGTGTAGGCTCTGTGCTCTGTGCCTCCTTCCTCACCTGTGGGCTGGTCTCTGTGCTCACTGTTTTATGGAGATGGCTCTCCTGCAGCTGACACTGGCCTCCGGGTGCCAGGCACCTGGCCTCGACTGCTTCCTCTGTTGAGCCTCTGAACGTGGCTCCCCCTACTAGTCCTTTCGTCCTGAAATAGTCTTTCATCTAGGTTCTGATGACACATCAAAGAGCTCTTTTTGATGTTACTTCCTAAAGTGTCTGTCTTTGGCATTTTAATTGGAGGCATTCCCTGAGATTGGCCCCTTCTCTCCCATTTTGGCTTTAGGTGTCTGATCAACGAGCTCATTTACTTCCAGAGGCTCCGTCTATGACAGTTCCCAAATCAAGGTGCAGCATCATTTCTTTCTGGAGCTCCAGATCTCTATGTTCAAGTGCGGGCGGTTCCACAAAGACGTGTGCTTGGAGACCCGAGTTCCACAGGTCTAGAGCAAGCCCCTTGCCACCTCCTCCGGCTCCTATATTCTGTTTCTGCCTCTGGCACCACCACCTTCCAGTTACTCAGGCCAAGACCGCTTTTCCCTTTACCTCTTCACGTGATCTCCAGATCCTCTTGATTCCTCCTCCCTAGAGTCGTTCAAATCCACCCTGTGCTGCCTAAACCCAGGGCTCTCCTCGTCTCTACAGGTTTCCCCACCTCTTATCACCTGTGTTTTAAAAACACCCTTTACATAAACTGCTGCTAGAATGATCACCAAAAACCGCAGTTCGCATTCCTGCTCCCCTCAGACATGTGTAAGGACACAAGCATTAGCCCAACCGGAACTCTCTGGACTTCAACTAAACAATGGTGGGCAAATTTATGATTCATTGAATAAAACAAGAATCCATGAATCCATTCACCACACATAAATGGATACACAAATAAGTGAGCAAGAAAGAAAAAGCTCCTCCGTAGTGTAATAACTGCGAAGAAATGATGACGTTAGGAAGCCACCTGCTGGTGACCTCGTAGCAATGATACGATGACCGGCTGGAAGTTTGACTGGAAAGAGGATGTTACACAGTCTCACACAGTATTTTTGTTTTTTACTGAAAAACAAAAAACATAAAAATGTTCACTGGACACACCTCCCCCCACTACCTTACCACGTGTGGAAGGGCAGCATCACCCACCATGTACAGGTGGGCATCGTGAGCCTCTGGCGTGATTCACCGAGGAAGGGTTCACTGTCACTGAGTGGTGTTCCTCCCAAACACTGGCATGGCTCTAACTCGAGGAAGGACTAGAATCCACCCAGATGTTCTGAAAGATCAGTGGCCTGGACTCTTCAAAATGTCAAGGTCATCATATTGGAGATTCTAGACTAAAGGAGAAAGAAGGAAATTCAGTACAATTTGTGCTCCTAGGTAGAATTTTGGACCATAATTTTTGTGTCTTGTCCCATAAAACATATATGTGATATAATTTCATTTTCTTTTTTATTTTTGCAGTGCCAAGCATCGAATCCAGGACCTTTTGTGTGCTAGTCAAGTCTCTGCTGAGCATGATATCCTCCCCCCACTGGCAAAATTTGAGTGACATCTGTAGTTAGTGTCCCGATTCAACTGTATCAAATTTAATTTCTTGATTTTGATAACTGCACTGTGGTTACATAAGAGAGTGTGTGCGGTTTTAAGAACACACACTGAAATGTTGAGTGATAAAGAAGCGTCACGTCTTTAACTGACTCTCAAGTGGTGCAAGGACGTGATTGCCTCTCTCCATCCATCCATCTCCTCACCTGTGTCACTGAGAAAGCAAGCGTGAAATGACCCAGCCAAGGTAAAATGTCAACTGTTGTCGAATCTGGGTGAAGGATAGATGGAGATTTTTGCGACTTTTCTATAAATCTGAAATCGTTTCAAAGTGAAAACTTTTTTAGAAACAGGACCTGCAGTGGCAGGGTAAATCACAAACTGCTTCCATTTTGTCTGGTGGGCTCCATGACATGCTGCCAGTGTAACCAAGGCAAGTCAAGCATCTCTGCGGCCCTCTTTCTCTCCTGTCCACCCTGATGAATTACCACCTCATCAGAGTTTCCTTGACAGCCTAGAAGAGAATCAAGCCAAGGTATTTGCCATGGGCTTTTCTTAGGAACAATGACGATGACATAAACTGCCTTGTAGCTGAATCTCTTGGAGGTTTTCTCCGTACTCTGTGTTTGCCTTTTCCTTGACGAGTGCATAGTAGCTGTGATATATGAGGTATCCCAGCCCACGAAAGCCAGTGCAAAATGGATGATTGGTCCTAGTACCCCGTGAAGAACTGGGAAAGCCATCACACATCATGTTTTCTGAGATGGAACTAGTTCCTTCAGTTCTCGACTACTGGCACTCACACAGGGAAGGGGGATGGGGCTTCTTCCAAAGCTTAGGGTGTTCCAGAAACGGACAGGGTTTGGGCATGTGGGTGTACTTGTGGTTGGATATGAACGTGTTTAATTTTCTGAGAATTCATACCGAAAAATATGACAGTTGTCGTGGGCCAACACAGTACTGTTTGGGAAACGGCCCAAACTGGCCATCTTGCTCCTGTTTAATCCTCAGGCAACTTGTCCCCCGTGGAGGACAGCTCTTGCGGTTATCACACTCACCACCTA